ATCACTAAGAACATACATGGGGTTGCTAGAGACAGATAAGATACCTGTGATTATGTCTGGATCCTGAGAAGCTTCAACATGGGTCATGGAAAAGACTTGAGCCTTTCCTTTCTTTGCCAAATCATCCTCTTTACTTAGCAATGTCTAGCATCCTTGAGCATAGTGGCCTGGTTGGCCACATTTATAGCGTACACCTTTCCCTACAAAACATTCTTCCTTGTGGTTCTTCTTACACTTAGGACAGGGATTTATGGTGTTGCTAGCCTGACTAGGATTAAATCCATTGTTAGGCCTCTTGTGTGAACTTTTTTTTTCATCCCTATTTAGATCAACCTATTTTCTCTTTCCGAGTTCATGCCATTGACTCTGAATTTTATACTTGGCACCAGACATGTCACAGTCTGGGCTTTCTTCATGACTTCTCTGAATTTAGTCAGCTCATGAGAACTCACAATCTATCAGATTTCAAGGAGTAGACCCCGTTCATGTTACCTAGCCTTCATTTGCTCGGTGCTAACCAGATGTTGTGCATACCAAGATAGTTGTTCAAACTTTCTCTCATATTTTGTAATGTCCATATCCCCTTGAATCAACTACAAGAACTCGGCTTCCTTGCAGTCACAGAGAGCTTGGAAAAAATATTTCTTTAGCATTTCATTCTTAAATTGATCCCATGTCATATTACGTTGTTTTATCTTCGTGTGATTACGACAAATAGATTCCCACCAGTGGCCGGCTCCCCCCATTAACATGAACTCATCACACAATACTTTCTAGTTTTTCGGGCACTAGATGTATCAAAAGATCTTCTCAATCATGCGAATGCACTCTTTTGTTGCCAACGGGTCATTACTTCTATCGAAGCTAGGAGGCGGTATCGACGAAATTACTCAATGATTGGCACAACTGGAGCAATGGTTGGTACAAGAGTAGTAGATAGTGTAGGGACAATTTGTGTTGTGACGGGTGGCACTATCAGTACATCTTGTCTAGTCGGAGCCATTAGAGTTGTTGGATTAGTTTGTGCCAAAAGGACTCGTCTCATTCTTCCACTACTTGCTGTAGCTCCCTAATTGCCCTTGCGTGTGATGTTAGTGCCCTTTCCCTTCATACAAAATGGGATAGGTTTCTAATCCATAGGAATTTTACAACAATCACACATTGTACAATTTAATGGAAGGCCATAATAGAAAATAACATATTTTATTATTGTCTAGATCCATTTATGAAGATGTACAATTTATGATAGAGAGTTCAGTGCACCAATAGAACAACTAAAATCTTACTTTATTACTTATAAAATGATAGCTAAACTGAAAACCACACATAAATATTATCCTATAACTATTCCTCATCATCTGAGTTAGGTGGTGGTGCGTCACTACCAAATCCTTCATCTCGATTACATGCAAATCCACGTTTAAGATTAACCCATCAAAATCTATCTCTACTGCTTTAGCTATCTTATCAGTATCTATGATTTCTCCTGACGGTATACTAATTTCTATTATACGATCATCTTTTTCACATATCATGCCAATTCCAGCTAAGCACATAGTATATATGAATGAATGCATTGCACCAAAATTAATAAGAACATATACAAGGTTGCTAGAGACAGATAGGATACCTGCGATTATGTTCGGACCCTGAGAAGCTTCAACATGGGTCATGGAAAAGACCCGAACCTTTTCTTTCTTTACCTGATCATCCTCATTACTTAGCAATGTCAGCATCCTTGAGCATAGTGGCCTGGCTGACCACATCTATAGCTTACACCTTTCTCTACAAAACATTCCCCCCTATGGTTTTTCTTACATTTAGGATAGGGATTTATGGTGTTGCTATCCTGACTAGGATTAAATCTATTGTTAGGCTTCTTGTGTGAACTTGATTTTTCATCCCTATTCTAATCAAGCCATTCTCTCTTTTCGAGTTCATGCCATTGGCTTTGAATTTTATGCTTGGCACCAGTATATGTCACAGTCTGGGTCTTCATCACGACTTCTCTGAATGTAGTCAGCTTATGAGAACTCACAATCTGTCTGATTTCAGGGTACAGACCCCGTTCATATCACCTAGCCTTCATTTGCTTGGAGCTAACCAGATATGGTGCATACTGAGATAGTTGTTCAAACTTTCTCTCATATTAAGTAATGTCCATATCCCCTTGAATCAACTACAAGAACTCGACTTCAAGGAGAGCTTGGGGAAAATATTTCTCTAGCATTTCAGTCTTAAATTTATCCCATGTCATATTACGCTGTTCCGTCTCCGTACGAGTACGACAAGCAGATTCGCACCAGTGGCTAGCTCCCCCCACTGACATAAACTCAGCACATAATATGCAAATCCACACCTTTGCTTCCAAAGGGTTATTACTCCCATCGAAGCTAGGAGGCCGGTATTGATGAAATTACTCAATGATTAGCAATCGTTTCAATATGTTATGGATATATTTGTATCCATGATTGAAAATTTGTTGATTGTACATTTTTCCTATATATCCTCTACTATATAGTAGGGTCAGTTTGTGTTATGACGGGTGGCACTGTCGATACAACTTCTTTAGTCGGAGCTATTGGCATTGTTGGATTAGTTTGTGCCAAAAGGACTCATCTCATTTCTTCCACTATTTGCTGCAGCTCCCTAATTGCCCTTGTGTATGATGTTGGTGCCATTTCTCTTCATACAAAACGGGATAGGTTTGTAATCCGTAGGAAGTTTACAACAATCACACATTGTAGAATTTAATTGGAGACCATAATAAAAAATAACATATTTTATTATTATCTAGATCCACTTATGAGGAGGTACAATTTATGATAGAGAGTTCAGTGTACCAACAGAACAAATGAGATCCTACTAAATTTATTTCAGATGAAATGATAGCTAAACTGAAAACCACACATAAATATTACCCTATAACTATTCCTCGTCATCTGAGTTAGGTGGTGGTGTGTCACTATCAATATCTATCTCAATATACCCAGGACAACAAAAAAGTAATATGACCTAGACCAAATTAGTGCACTAAATGCATGGCTATTTACTGCACATAAACTGGGAAACGATTTGTAGTGACGCGAAATTAAATACCACCATTATTATTATTATTATTATTATTATTATTATTATTATTTAATTTTATAAAAAATTTTGGTCGCTACAACTCTTCTTCCCTGGAGTTAAATCTCGTCCTCGAAATTTGACTTACCTGTTCAAAAATCTCTAGGTACTTGGTCTTGATTTCTTCCTCCCTTTCCCAGGTAGCCTCCTTTATTGTATGATTAACCCATCGGATCTTTACTAATGGTACCTCTCTGTTTCTCAACCAGTGAGCTTTTCTTTCTAATATCTCGACTGGTGATTCCTCATACGTTAGATCCTCCTGTAAGTTAATCACTTGATCATCAATCACATGACTCAGGCCATGAAGGTAATTCCTCAGCATGGAGATGTGAAATACGTTATGTACAGCTGATAGTTTTGGTGGCAATGCCAAATGATTTGCCACATTTTCAACTCTTTCTAGTATCTCAAATGGACAGATAAATCTTGTTTCAACTTAGCTTTCTCACCAAATCGTAACACACCTTTCATTGGTGCCATCTTCAGAAAAACTTTATCTTCAACCTCAAATGTCAAGTCTTTTCTTCTCTTGTCGGTGTAACTTTTCTGTCGATTTTGAGCCATCTCAATTCTCATTCTAATCTTTTCAATAGCGTCCACTATCTTTACAATGAGTTTAGGACCTAACATTTTTATTTCACCCAATTCATCCCAGCATACTGGTGAACGACATTGTCTACCATATAAGTCTTCGTATGGCACCTTGGAAGCTATTATTGTGCAAATTCTACCAACGACAAGTGAATTTCCCAATTTTCGCCCCAATCTAAGACACAAGATCTCAACATATCTTCCAAAACTTGCATGGTTTGTTTCGATTGCCCATCGGTCTAGGGGTGGTAAGCAGTACTAAAGGTCAACTTAGTCTCCATCGTGGTTTGTAAACTCCTCCAAAATTTTGATGTAAACCTAGGATCTCGATCTGATATAATCGACACTGACACCCCCATAGAGTTTGACTATCTCCCATAGAGTTTAACTATCTCTCTAACATAGAGCTCTACAAATTGATCCATATTAAAATTCATTCTAATTGGGAGAAAGTATGCTGACTTTGTCAATCGATCCACTATTACCAACATAGCTTCATGACCCCTTGCTGACCTGGGAAAGCCCACTACGAAGTCCATTGCTATTTTTTCCCGTTTCCATTCTTGTATATCTATCAGATTCAATAGTCTTGATGGTCTCTAAACCTGCTGACAAACAAGACACTTTGATACAAATCGGGTTATTTTCTCTTTTATATTCCTCCACCAAAATGAACTACGTCGATCTCAATACATTTTAGTCTTACCTGGGTGTGCTACGTAACGGGCAGAGTGAGCTTCTATCATACTCTCATTCTGAAGTCCTTTATCCTTGGGTACTCATAGTCGACCTATATACATTAATGCCTTATCTTCAGCTATCTCTAAATCTTTTTGTTTCTATGTTTCAACTGCAGCCCTCATCTTTTCGAGAAACTGGTCATTCTTCTGGGCCTTTATTAGTTTAGCCCAAAGTATGGGCCTCAGAGTTAATGCTACTATCATGGTCTTTGTCCAAGCCGAAAGCACTAGTACCTCAATTTTCAAAATTTCAAGGTCTTAAATTAACTGCTCTTGGTCTGTCCTCAAAACAGATAACTGAGTGCGTTTACGACTACATTAGCCTTACCAGATGGTAATAGATTGTGCAGTCGCAGTCTTTCACTAACTCCAACCATTGTTCTTATCTAGAATTTGACTCCTGAGCGAAAAATTATTTAAGGCTCTTTGGTCTATGTAGATTTTGCATTTGCTTCCATACAAGTAGTGACGCCAAATTTTAAGAGCATGAACTACTGCTGTAAGTTCTAAATCATGCGTTGGATAGTTTTGTTCATATTACTTCAGTTGTCTTGATGCATATGCTATCACTTTTCCATTATGCATTAAAACACACCCCAATCCCAGCTTGGATGCATCACTATAAATAACAGATCCACCTGAACCTTCAGATATAGTCAATACTAGGGCAGAAACTAGTCTATCCTTTAACTCTTGAAAGCTTTTCTCACACCTTTTTGACCAAATGACCATAACTCCTTTCCGGGTCAATTGTATTAAAGGCACTGCAATTTTTGAGAAATCCTCAATGAGTCATCGATAGTAACCAGCTAAACCTAGAAAATTCCTCACTTCATCTACATTAGTAGGTGCCGACCAGTTATTCACAACATCGACCTTAGCTAAGTTTACTTTTATTCCATGGACGGTCACTACATAACCTAAAAATCCTATATGGTCTAACCAAAACTCACACTTTTTTGAATTTGGTGTAAAGTTTTTCCTTGCATAAATTATCCAACACTGCTTTTAGATGTCCTTCGTGCTGTTGAACATTCTTTGAGCATACTAATATATCATCAATAAACACAATGAGAAATTTGTCTAGATAACGTTGAAATACTTGGTTCATTAAGTCCATAAACACGTAGGTGCGCAAGTTAAGCCGAAAGGCATAACAATAAACTCATAGTGTCCATAGTGAGTTTGAAATGCTGTCTTCGATTTATCACTCTGTTTAATCTTTAACTGATGGTAGCCCGATCTAAAGTTGATTTTTGAAAACACCGTAGCTCCCTTCAATTGATCAAATAAATCTTTAATTCGTGGGAGTGGATGATTTTTCTTAATAGTTAATTTATTCAACTCCCTATAATCTATGCATATCAGTATTGACTCATCTTTCTTTTTAATCAATAGTATTAGAGCTCCCCATGGGGACACACTTGGCCTTATAAAACCTTTACTACTTAGTGCTTTCTATTGTATTTTGAACACTTGTAGTTCCTTAGGGGTCATTCTGTAAGGTGCTTTACACACTAGCGCGGCTACAAGGATCAAATCAATTGTAAATTCTACTTGCCTATCAGGTGGAATACCTGGTAGGTCATCGGGAAATACATCCGGATACTCTCTTACTATTGGCTTGTTATCCATAGTTGTCTCTCCTTCTAATGTGTCAGTAAGGTTAACTAAATATCCTTGGCAGGATCCCTTCTTTAGCAATTTCTCAGCTTGCATCGCTGAGATTAGGTGAGGATGTACTTTAATCTTGGATCCATAAAATCTAAATTCTTTTTCACCAGTTCTTTGAAGCACTACATCTTTCTCAAAACAATTTATGGTTACTCGATTGCTGCCTAACCAATCCATGCCCAAAATGATGTCGAAATCCTTCATCTCGATTACATGCAGATCCACGTTTAAGATTAACCCATCAAAATCTATCTCTATTGCTTTAGCTATCTTATCAATATCTATGATTCCTCTTGACGGTATACTAATTTCTAGTATACCATCATCTTTTTCACATACCACACCAATTCTAGCTGAGCACGTAGTAGATATAGATGAATGCGTTGCACCAGAATCAATAAGAACATACACAAGGTTGCCAGAGACAGATAGGATACCTGCGATTACGTCCGAATCTTGAGAAGCATCAACATAGGTCATGGAGAAGACCCGAGCCTTTCCTTTCTTTATCTGACCATCCTCCTTACTTAGCAATGTCCGGCATCTTTGAGCATAGTGGCCTGGCTGACCACATCTATAGCATACACCTTTCCCTACAAAACATTCTCCCCTATGGTTCTTCTTACACTTAAGTCGGGGATTTGTCGTGTTACCAGCCTGACTAGGATTTAATCTATTTTTAGGCTTCTTGTGTGAACTTGATTTTTTGTCCCTATTCTGATCAACCCACTTCCTCTTTTCGAGTTTATGCCATTGACTCTGAATTTTATGCTTGGCACTAGTACATGTCATAGTCTGGGCCTTCTTCACGACTTCTCTGAATGTAGTCAGCTCATGAAAACTCACAATCTGCCTGATTTCAGGGTGTAGACCCCGTTCATATCGCCTAGCCTTCATTTGCTCGGTGCTAGCCAGATGTGGTGCATACCAAGATAGTTGTTCAAACTTTCTCTCATATTCAATAATGTCCATATCCCCTTGAATCAACTGCAAAAACTTGGCTTCCTTGTAGTTATGGAGAGCTTGGGAAAAATATTTCTCTAGCATTTCAGTCTTAAATTGATCCCATGTCATCTTATGCTATTCCGTCTCCGTGTGAGTACGACAAACAGATTCCCACTAGTGGTCGACTCCCCCACTAACATAAACTTAGTACACAATACTGTCTTGTTTTTTGGGCACGAGATGTATCGAAAGATCTTCTCAATCATGCAAATATAGTCCTCTGCTGCCGAAGGGTCATTACCCCCATCGAAGCTAGGAGGCCTACATCGATGAAATTACTCGATGATTGGCACAACTGGACCAATGGTTGGTGCAAGAGTAATAGATGGTGTAGGGACAGTTTGTGTTTTGACGGGTGGCACTATTGATACATCTTGACTAGTCGAAGCCATTGACGTTGTCGGATTAGTTTGTGCCAAAAGGACTCATCTCATTTCTTCCACTACTTGCTGCAGCTCCCTAATTGCCCTTGCGTGTGATGTTGGTTCCATTTCCCTTTTATACAAAATGGTATTGATTTGTAATCCATAGGAAGTTTACAACAATCACACATTGTACAATTTAATGGGAGGCATAATAGAAAATAACATATTTTATTATTATCTAGATCCATTTATGAAGAGGTACAATTTAGGATAGAGAGTTCGGTGCACCTACAGAATAAATGAAATCCTACTAACTTTATTACTGATGAAATGATAGCTAAACTGAAAACCACACGTAAATATTATCCTATAACTATTCCTCGTCATCTAAGTTAGGTGGTCCTATGTCACTATCAATATCTTAGACAACTAAAAAACACACACAATTTTTTAAGGAAAAAGGGGGGAAAACTAATATTATGTGAAGGTAAGGAAAGACCTTTGCCAAAGGGAATTCTACTCAATTCGAGCTCTTTCCTTCAATAGGTCTAGGATAATTATAGACCAATTTAAATCATCCAATGCAAATGGGGTGATATTTGATATGTACATCACACATGAAATCAATCCAAGCATTAACCAAGAAAATGGAATTCCTTCAAAATTCAATAGCCATAGCTTTACTTTAATTCCCTCTAACTTGGTTGTCTTTATCCGTATTAATTTCTTTTTGAAATCATTATGTAAGATTAATTATAAGCCACCAAATGAGTCGAATATTGCTATAAAAATTTTTGTAACTTCAATAATTTAATAATCAATCTCGCGATACCGAGCATACGCTAGGAACTAGGAATTTTAACTAAATCACGACTTACGTGAATACTATCTCTATTAAAATTAAACGACAAAAACCTAACTTACTATATAATCTATCTCAAAATATCCCCAAGGAAACAAGCAACTAATATGGACTTGACCAAGTTAGCGCACTAAATGCATGGCTATTTACTGTACATAAACTGGGAAACGATTTATAGCGACGCGAAATTAAATACCACCACCATTATTATTATTATTATTATTATTATTATTATTATTATTATTATTATTATTATCATCATCATCATCATCATCATCATCATCATCATCATCATCATCATTAAAATTGGTCGCTACAACTCTTCTTCCTTGGAATTAAATTTCAGCCTCGAAATTTGACTTACCCGTTCAAAAATCTCTGGGTACTTGGTCTTGATTTCTTCCTCCCTCTCCCAAGTAGCCTCCTTTATTGTATGATTACCCCATCAGATCTTTACTAATGGCACCTCTCTGTTTCTCAACCAGTGAACTTTTCTTTCTAATATCTCAACTGGTGATTCCTCGTATGTTAGATCTCCTGTAAGTTAATCACTTGATCCTCACTCACATGACTCAGGTCATGAAGGTATTTTCTTAGCATAGACACGTGAAATACTTCATTTATAGCTGATAGTTTTGGTGGCAATGTCAAATGATATGCCACATTTCCAACTCTTTCTAGTATCTCAAATGGACCGATAAAGATATCCATATCTTGTTATTACTTATGACGACGAAAGATTTATGATATGCAATTTGTATCTCCTTGTGATTAACAAATTACGAAGATTTGAATCTACTGATTCTATTATTTAATTTAATTATCTATTATATACTAGATCTACTATTAAATCGCATTAATTATATATTAAATGTACTTATGTCCAAGGTTGATTGGACCTAGGACATAACACTTGCAAACTCCCACTTGCACTAGATCCAATCACTTATATATCCAATATCATAACAGTCTACATGACGATCATATTTATACTACGACAACTCTTTGTCAGTGGATCTGCAATATTGCCAAATGTGGGAATTCGTTCTTCTCTTTACGTTATTTCTATGTATTATCTCTCTGATGAGATTATTCCGCCTTAATACATGTTTGGATCATTGATGAGACCTTAATTCATTCGCTTTCACGGTGGCTCTATTGTTATCACAATACAATGGTATGTGATCAACAATATTAGGAACCAACAATATTAGGAACTACTCCAAGTTCATTATTAAACATCTTGATCCACATTGCAACTCTTTGCTGTTTCTGAAGCAATATGTATTAGGTTTTTACTATTGAACCAATGGCTGCTTCATGTTTGGAACCTTTCCAACATACAGCTTAAGAATAAACCAATTTCTCCATATAAAGTCTTCTCAAGATTTTATCTATGAGATGAGTTAAGAAATCTTTCCTATGAATAATGTGTCTTACGTATAATATTAGGAATGCGACAATGCTCCCACTATCTTCTTGCAAACACACAATTTGTCTTCATATTTGATAAAATCAAACCTTTTGATTCTATATCAAATTGAAGATTTCAACTCCAAGAGGTTTTCATTAACTCATAGTCATGGTATGTAACTATTGCAACCAAAATTCAAATAAACTTCAGCATGACTACAGGCGAAAGGTTTCATCGAAGTCAACACATTGTCTTTGTTTGTTACCTTTTGCTATTAGCTTTGCTTTGTATGTATGGATATATCCATCCATGTCAACCTTTTATTTAAACCATTTACAACCTATGGGTTTCATTCCATTAAAAGGGTTGACCAAGGTCCAAATCTTGTTCACATAGGTCGAGTTCATATCGGGTTTCATGACCTCTTACTATCTCTTTTAAGTCAACATTTGACTTTATTTTTGTGCAATTAGTAGGTTCATCATCTAGGATCAGCAATGCCTGATTAATAATCATGGATTCACACCTTGTTGATGGTGGAATGATCCTACTAAATTCACATAAAGTTGACATGTCCTCAGGAGTCTCTACTCCCTGATCAAGAGTATGTCCCATATTAGATATGGGATCAAACTCGAATGCATTTACTTGGCTAACTATATCTATGGACTCTTGAACTCTTTCAAGTTCTATTTTGCTTCCACTGTCCTCTCCTAGAGTAAATATTTTCTCTAAAATGACAATATTTCGTGAGACGAGACTTTTTCCTCAATGGGTTAATAGAATTGATACCCAAATATCTGCTTTGAATATTTCACAAATGTGTATCTATCAGATTTAGTCTCAAACTTATTTGATTCAATGTGCTTTAAATAAGCGTCACAGTCCTAAACTTTCATATGTGATAAATTTGGACTATTACCTTTCCATAACTCGTATAGAATTGTGTTAACCGACTTAGATGTGACATGATTTAGTGTGTAACACACTGCAATTAGTGCATGAACCCAAAAATGATTTTTGGAGATTTGCGTGACTTGTTTTTAATTGTACTATATTTAATAGTTAACGATTTATCTTTTTCGATACACCACTGCTGCAGTGGATATGGAGGAGTCCACTGAAAGAGAATCTCATTCTCTTTTAGATAATCTAGAATTCATTCTTTAAGATATTCCCATCTCGATCAGATCTTGATGTGAGAATATCTCAACCTATTTGTTTCTCTACTTCAAGTTTGAATCTCTTGAACCTTTCAAGAGTTTCATGCTTGAATTTCGTCAAGCATATATGACTATTTCTGTAATAGTCATTAGTAATTTTGATGAAATAAGAGAAAGTTCACCTGATATTATTTGACATGGGTCCATATGTGTCAGTATGCATTAGACCAGTAATTATGCAGACCTTTTTCCTTTTCAAGTAAAAAGAGATTTGGTCATTGTGCTAGACATGCATAATTCGTACTTGTCAAAATCAATTGACACCAAGTATACATCTCTATGTAACTTTGGAATTGCATTTATTCTATATGACAAAGTCTCCCATGCTAGATTTAGGTAATATTTAGATTATCACTTTTATGCCTATTAACTTCTATACTCATTATAGAATGCTTAGTGTTCAGAATATAAATGTTATATTGTAGCTTACCACAACCATTAAGATCTTTAATCGCGATAGGCATGAACAATAATTGTTCTTAATATTAAAATAGTTCATGTCCAAACATGAAATTCATTTAATGTTCCAGTTATGGTTGGTACAAATTTACATTTTTCTAATTCTAATACTAAAACTAAAGGCAATGGCAAGAAGTATACTCCTACAGGCAATGTAGCAACCTTTGCTCATTTTCAACGTGCAGGTCAACTTCTCTATTTTGCAGTGGTCTACTTCTATTCAGTTTCTCCATATTTGTTTAAATATGATATCCACATCTGGTATCGAATACCTAGGAAACTCATGAAGTAGATATAAGCCTTGCAATGTTTATTCCAATGACCTTTGGTTCTATAATAAAGACAATGGTCATTAGATTTGGTATTGTCCTTCGCTTAGACTGTCTTAACCATATTGGATGCTTTCCTAAAGCCCCTTTAGATTTCCTCTTAACACTCTTAGAGGAATCAATGGTTTACCCACTACCAACTTTGATATCGAGCTTAACAGTCCTAAGCATGTTGAGCAACTTAATGAGTATGCATTTGAGCTTATTCATATAATAATTTATAATTAGTATGAATAATTCTATGATAAAGATTGCAGAGCTAAGTCAATACTTAGTTCATAGTTCATGATTGAACTTAACTGAGACACTTCTTATGTCAATCATCTTTAGTACATGAGTATTGACTAAAGATTCTTCTGTCACTATGCATCGGTATAGTTGTTTGGAAGTCTCATATCCTTCCACACATGATTATTA